TAATAGAGCAACAAGCTACAGCTCCGGAGGCGTGAAGAATCCGCACTGAATCCGCTGATGTAACGACCTTCTCACTGCCAGGAAGCCTCAACTGCTGAATCCACTGATGAAACGAGCTTCCCACTGATGACCACTGATGAAAAGAGCTTCCCACGGGATACGCTGATGCAACGAGCTTCCCACTGCCCTTCGACTCCCCACGATGCTTTCTAGAATATTGGCAAGTAAAAGAAGAAGGGAAAAAAAAAAAAAAGTGAGCGTCATGGTGAATCCCGTCATCTCCATGCACCCCTCTACTCCCTCCACACGTCAACATCTGATGTGCMGACAGTGCCGTGCCATTTCCGAATCCATCCCTGCAGCATGCTGCCTGACACCAACACCTCCACTACGCTTTCTGCTCGTTCATCCCCGCAGCAGCCAATCCTTCAGCTTCATCCCTCCAGCACGAGCCATGCCAACGGGCTGTCTTGCTTGTAGAGCTGATGGTAGGGAACAAAAAAGAAAAAAGAAAAAAGAAAAAATTGTCTTGCATCCACGGTCTGGACAGAGACACATACTCTGCCAGGACACAATCTGCACATGCCAAGGAAAGCAGAGCGATGGCTTATCTGTTTCATCACGCTCGACATGAATGAGTTCCCAAACGCGATGTACATTCCCTATATATCAGTCCGGATACATCTGCATTTTCTGTGAAAGATGAGTGACGAGCACGGACGATGGGAATTCTCATGGCCGCCATCCATCTTGCAAGGCGTGTATAGAGTACTTGGAAATGGGGACGTATGGGGACGATGAGAGGAGGAATATACATGAATATCACTTCAAGAAGGAAGAGAGAAAAAAATGGGCAAGATACAGTTTCCAATTGCACTTTGGGCACCCTACCTGGCCAGAAAGCTGGGTTGTATACATTGCCCGAACTGGAATTGCAAACTGTATCTTGGCCCATTCTGCAATTATAACTCATTTTTGTGACGTCCTCGTATTTTCCAACAAGGAACAAATAGCAGGAACAGAAGAAAGCCATGGCACTGGTGCGTTCAGAAACTGCAGCACATGTTGTCACTGCACAGAGTGCACCATGGCGATGGCGCCCATGCAAGCAGCCGTTTGCAGGAGCAGCTGGCCATGGAGCGTCCGCTGCGCCGCTTTTCGAGAGTTCAGACGCGGGCATGGAAAGGCATCCCCATGAATAGTTATCAGTTTTCTTCCCAGATGCATGGAGAGTGTTCGTCTCCCCCATCTCCAAGCTGTCTCCACGACCATGGACGCATCCGCAAATGACCGTGGGCAGGTCCGACACGCATCCGAACTTGTTTCGGGATAGATACATCCACTGCGCTGTGAAGTAGAGCACGGAACGCAGAATATGAGTGCATCCGAACTCCATTTTGGACCAGGTACATCCACATCGCAGTGGAGTAGAGCACAAGCACGTACTGGTGAGGTAAGGCACAGAAGTTGCATTCAGGAGGTCATGGGGTTCAATCCCCAATGATCTCACGTACGTCCCTGGGGAAGCTTGGTGTTCTACACGCTAGAGATAACCCGTTGGCTGGTCTTAAATTTAAAATTAAGGCTTCTTTAAAATTATAATTATTACTCAAATGTCAAATTGCTTTGTCCCTGTGGCTGTCCTCCTTCTCATGCTATAGCTAAGCTTCTGCAGAGTGGTTTTCAACTTCGACTTTGACTTTGACTTTGACTTCGACTTCAACTCTGACTTTGACTTTGACTTTGACTTTGACTTTAACTTTGGCTTGGACTTATCCCTAAATAGGTTCTCCTTCATCAGAACCATACGTGAGAAGTTTTTGTCATATGGCTCAAGTAGTATGTCAATTATTTTCATTCCGAGTTTGAGTTTGACTTTGACCTTTAATATCCATTCAAGCACAAAAGTACTGA